CTTATCCTCCCAGGTAAAGTTACTTTAATGGTGGTGGGAAAACGTCAAACGATCATATTGGGTTTAGAACATGGCAAAATATACACAATGTAGAGATAACGCGTTGTAATAAGTCATAATGCTAAATTTTAAACAAATGGAATAACAGATTTATACTTTAAAAGATTTTAAACAAGAAGTTCTACATTCTAAACTACTTTCGGCATGTTTCATTAACAAATGTCTGCTTTTTGTTTCGTTTTTAGTTTCGTTACGGTGTTGAGAATTTTTGACAGTTCTTGAACAAACAAGTCATATTTAAACATTAAAATATCCATTAAAAAATGTGCACGAGCTATAATCAATAAAGTGAAACATTTTGCGTCCAAATAAAATGATGTATTTCATAGTGCAAAGAACTTGATTTGTATTTTTCTACAACATGCAAATTGCACATTAATGGGAGAATGACCCGCATACTCAAAATTTCTACATGCGATCAGAAAGTCAGGACCCGAAACAAGAAGATTGAAAGAAGTTGATTTATATATAACAAAAGTTATTGAGGAAGAGGATGTAGATGATTATGTAGAAGATTATCCAATCATACAAGAAATAGACGAATTCGAAAGTATCTGGACAAGGTATAACGTTTTTATCCGACAACAACGAGGAATTAGTTAATAGATTACGAAAGGCCATCGATCGGACAGACCATACAATGAAGTCATTATCATATTAAAACGACTTTTGGAGAAAAGAAATCATCACTCAAAAAGACTATATAAACGTCATTAAAAATGTCCAATAAAGAACAATTATTCGTTATAACCTCGAATAATTCAGACATTAAATTGTCTCTAGACTACGAGTATGAACTCGATCGCAATAAACAGTACGAACTGGGATTAAAGCGTTTCTCCGTTTACAATTCCATTAGAAATATCAACAAAAACAACAATCAACTAAAAATATCGACGGATAACGGAGTTACGTTCAAAGCGAATACGTATTACGACGATTACCTATCCGAATACGCAGGAAGCGTGAGCGGTAAAAACAATTTCGAATTCGAAGGTAATTTGAATCTGAACAAAATAAAACTGATCTTGAGAAATAACACTCAAGTCGATTTCAACGTAGAAAATTCGTTGAATGCGTTACTAGGGTTCGCCACACAAGCCCAACATCAAGAACGACATCGACGTGATCAACATTCACTGTAATTTGATCAACGGTGGATTTTTCAACAAGCACAAACGCCAAATCATATACAGCATACCGACTTTTACGGTGCCGATCGGATACAGAATTATAGAGAAACCGTTTCAAACGACCTATTACCAGTCAA